CGCCGCACACCTCAGTACTGTCGTCTGAGGGGGCGAGTGGGCGTCCGGTCAGGGGGGTGAATGGGATTCCACCACGGACGTAAATTGCTACGTCTCCGCCCTTCACGGTCGCCGCACCTAGTTGTCTGCCGCTTTCTCTTTTCGTGACTACCGGGGGTTGGTAGCCCGGGATGCGGACGACGTTCTTGGAGGAGAGCTGGACCTCTTGTATGGCCACCACGTCCGCGCTGACCGACGGGAGCCAGCTTTGGAGTTCCGGGATTTTGGTCCGGAGCCCCTCAGCGTTCCAACCAACTATGTGGAGGAGACTACGCTGCGCTCGGTTGCGACGATGGCGACGGTTTCTTGCTCTCCTTCGATGCTGTCCTCTTCGGGCCCCCCGGTCGTCACCCCCTCCGTCGGTGCTCTCGGAGGGGGGCGCGGCCGTAGGGCTACTCATTCAGCAGGTCCGGCCGCGTGCGACGCGGCTCTGGACCTGCAGTGGGCATACGCAGCCCCGGCGCGTGAAGAGCAGTAGAGGAGAAGAAGGGGCGCGGAGCGGCGCCAGGCGACGGGGAGCCGCCAGCAGGACCCTCTCGAAGAGGGCAGTTTGGGTCCGTTTGGTTTCCTCCGCTGGTCGCCCCAGCGGGGGCGGGCACGAGGCCCACACCTCCCACCGCGTGAAGGCGGACCCATCCGGGAGGCTGAGAAGAGCCGCTGCTCGATGATCGTGCAGGCTCCTGCATTGAGGCCGGTGTTCGATTCACTTGTGTCAAAACTGAGCGCTTTCACTCAATCCTTGAACTCTCACTAATCGAGGCATTCTAGTACAGCGTTTGCTGCGGCCTGTCAATTTGAGCCTGGCTAGCGAAAAATGTTCTGAAATGGCTTAGCAAAACACAACTTACCTTTTCACGTGCACGTCTTCTCCCTGACATCAGGAAGACACGGAGACCTGCCCTGTGGCCGTACACTGGCAGTGTCCCCCTGCGCATCAGTAACCGGGGATACATGAGCAGAGTAAATGCGTACCTATTACAAACGGATCACAATACTCAGCGAAGAAAATTCCTGATACGCATTTATTTGCTCATGTAACCCCGGTAGGTGCTAGCAATCTTGTGACCCTTCCCCTGCCATCGTAATACGAGAGAAGAGCTGAAGTTGCACGCCTGGCAGCGAGCTACCGTCACCGAACAAAATAAGCTAAACTACGCTGAACGGCCATTGGGTGAATCACGCATTGCGTCACAGCGGGTTTGCGGCGAGAAACACTGTGGTTATGAAACAAATAGGAAGTCATCTATCATTCACTTCAACGTGTTACAGCTCAAATATGACAATGCTTGGAAGGGCGCGACACATATCTGAATGCCCGTTCACAATATACGTTTGGTCAATATGTACCAAGTATGACCCCATTGAGCTACCTCTAAATATAAATATTTTTTGATAAAATTTCATACATATCATTTTTTCGTGAGGTAGAACAATATGGCTACCCGTCCCAGTCGAAATTAAAAAAGTCGAAATTAAGTGCCACCCTAATATATATATATATTTGTATATTTCGGCAGGATATCTTCTTGAATACAAGTTTTATTAAAAATGACCGCGTTTTTTGCCTTTTCACGTTTCTTTGAAGCTTTTCTATCGTTCTTATGAGTGTTTTTTGCTCAGACGTCAGATCAAAGATAAGATTACCAAGTGACATTTATATGCATAATTCGACGTTTCAAATAGACACCGCTATCCATTTTCAAGATAACATGGTTCGCTCGATGCTACGTTTGCAAGCTTCGGTTTGCAATACATAAATGACAATAATAAAATGCAAGTTTGCGCGAGCCTAATTTCCTAAATATCTTACATCATATAAACATTCAATGGACGACAATCACATAAATCGCACCGCTGCAGCACAGTAAGTTGTCTGCTCTAACCCATGTTCTCATGCTGCTACACTTCCCCAGAGTAAAAGATTGGAATACTGTTGGACCTGTTTGTTAAGCGTTGGTCGCTTTTCATGTATGTGTAGTGCTTCTAACACTGCTAATTTTCGCTTATCGTGACATGATGTGATGATGGTGGTGTTCTCTGTCAGGTGTTGTCTTGTAAGTGTTGAGCCGTGTTTCTCATGCATGTGTTCTTTTGGTGCTCCATCTCTTAAATGCATAGTGAGTCTTCTAGAGAGCGAAGTTGTAGTGACACCAATATAGGTTTCTTTACGAAGCCTGCAATCTTCGTGAGGACATGTGAATTGATACACTACATTGGTGCACTTCAACTTATCTCTGCTAGAGTTGATGTTGTTTTTCATGACAAGGCTACGTGTTTTCATGTTTTGGTAAAAGATGACCAGTTGTAGTTTTTGGTTGTCTTGTACACACTTAACATTTTTCTTTACAATGTGCTTAATGACTGTTTCGTCAACCTTGTGGGACGTATTCATGAAGTTTCGATAAAACAATGTAAGATGCGTCTCTGACTGTGTGCCAGCACCCACTGCGTCACTACGATC